TGTGTGTGTGTGTGTGTGTGTGTGTGTGTGTGTGTGTACACCCAGTGAATGATGCAGGATATGGGTTTTTATCACATTGTTGGACTGACTGGAGCTGGGTGTGTGTTCGTGTGCCTTTGTGGCCTGTGTTGCGTGTGTTTATTTGTGTGCCCTGGTATTTGAGTGATGAGGGCTTATTGTGCGTGTGTGAATGTGCTCAAGCATGTGCCTGTAACCACATTTATGTGTGCGCATGTGTGTGTGTGTGTATATGCATGTGTAATGACCAAGGGGAGGGGTAGAGGAGTGTGCATGTGTGTACACGTGTGTGTGTGCGTGTGTATGAATCATCGTGGGTTGATGTGTTTCCATGCATATGAACAATGTATGCATCTATAATGAATTCTGTGTGTTTGCACACGCACATGTGTGTGAGTGACAGGCGGGGAGTGCAGTGTGTGCATTCATGCATGAGGCTCCCTGCGGGAGGACTCGCCTGTGCGTGTGGGTTGTGCAGCAGTGAGGAGAGAGAGAGAGTGAGTGAGTAAGAAAGTAAGTAAGTGAGTACTTATTTGTTGTTATGCATAATGACGCACACACGCGAATATAAATCGACACATCAACGCAATTGAGTTCACGTGTCAGCAGGCAGAATCCTATAACGCAGGTAGTCACGTGAGATACTTTCTGTCCATTACATATGCGTGTGTCTGTTTATTATGCTCTAAAACATTTGATGTTTAAAACCAACCATCAGGAACATGCGAGAATATTTAAGAAAGTTAAATTAGTATTAAATAGTAGTATTACTGCATGTATTAACCCCACGGAATCTACAATAAAATATAAAAGCGGATTTTAATTGACCATTAACATGGATGACAGTGACTTCATCTCGATGTTTTTGCAGGCCACGGAGACATTTTTGACTTAGGACGTCAAAATACTGGTGGACTCGAACCTGAAGCCTTCTGGACCCAAGTCTGCTTCCTTAACCACTAGGACCTACAATGCGGTCCGTAGCTCCCTCTCCAGCAAGTACAGACATAACTAACGCCTCCATTCAGGTAACACCAACAACCCCCAC